TTATATATATACATTTTTAAAATTCCTAAACTGTTTGTCTCAGTGATTTCTGGTAACAGCAAATTCCACGGGTTGATTATGTGTGTTCTGTAATTCTGGACCCTCCTCTCTATGCTTCCTCTTATTTATAGCTTACTGGGATAAATAGCAGCAGCACAAGCCCTGTCATATACTGATGTAGTGGATCTTCACTGAAGCTTTGCACCAATGTAAACTGGTAGTCACTAAGGCAGAATGAATTTAATTTGGAGGACTGTTTGTGGTAGGGTTAAAATTGTTTTTTCCCTGTATCTCTGTAATTAATAATGTACAAATCGATTACTCTTGTGTTGTTCAGTATTATAGTATGATCCTGTTTTAGCTCAGTGTAAAGTAGCATTTTCATCAACCTGTACAACCAGTGTTTTTGCTTTGTTTGGGTCTGCAAAGATTCGCCGATACGACAATGGATAGAAGAACCCATGATATCTTGTGCCCTTTCACGGAGACCACTCACAGTCCTAGCCTTTGTACTGTTTGAATACAAAAGTTGGGAAAGTCAAGCACTGGCCCAACATCTTAAAGGGGGAAGAAAGTGCCACATGCATGTGTGTGATGGAGCTAGTATGCAAGGGAGCACATACTAAACCCACATAAAACCTACAAGTCACTGCTGTGGTCTATGTTCTTGAACAAATTTTGATGGAATCAACCAGAATTGTTTTGTGTGGGAGGAGATATGGGAGAAGTCCTCATTGATATAGAGAGCCTGCACACTCTCCAGCTGTGACTGTCTTCAAAACCACAATCTAGCCTGTTAAGTGAGGATTTTGATACCCTTTCTAAATTGAAAATTAATGTAAAAATAGTGCCAATAATGACAGTTACCGAGACCACCTTTCCCCCTGTGGTTTAGGTAAATTATATAAGGTAAAGTTCAGCATTTTCAGAAGGAGTATGGGCAATAAAGGTGTATTATAGTAAAGGTAAGGCCCTCAATAAAATTGAAGATCCCTGATTTGGTGCTGTCTGGCCTCGGCACAAGTTAGGACTTAACAGTAGCAACCCAAATTTATACAACTGATACAAGCTCCCTTACAGGCCTTAGGCCAGTCGTGAATCAGACATAGTGGAATTCTGCTCAGCAGTGCACCTTTCTCATCTCACCCAGACACACCTTCCTTCCCATGATGCCAGGGTAGAGAGTAGTTGTCAGAGACTTCACTGCTGCTACACAGGAGGAAGTCTTCACTGGCTATCTTCCATCGGCTTGAAGTTAGTTTGCTTTACCTACCAGCTGCAGCAAACCAGAGACTAAGACCCAATATATGCAATTTACTCTGAATCCTTGGCAAACTTTTATTTATAATAGGGATATAAGCGAGTTGTCGACTGCCTGAGAAGCCTAAACTTATCAGATAGTCTAGTTGACTACCTGCTCCCCCCCCTCTGTATCAGTGGCAGCAAGGGGGGAGAAAACAGGAGCTGGTGCTGGAAGGAGCCAGCTTAGAAACCCCCAGCACCATTTCTGCTGTGCCGCCTCCTGCCACCCCTCACATGCTGCTGTCTCTATCAGCAGCCCTTATTTGCAGTGGCCTAGGCTGGCCATAGGCAAAGGCTGCTCCAGGGGCTGCTGGGCCCAGCACAAGCTGGGACTGAGGAAACCCATATCAGTCCCAGCTCATGCCAGTCCAGGACCACTGTGGCTCTGCGTCTCTTACTACATTTAAAATGCAGAGCTGCAGCAGTCCCAGCTCTGTCCTGACTTGTGATAGTTGGGGACCTACCTCCACTGCAGCTCTGCAGTTTAAATGTAGTAGAAGCTAGGCATGCAGGCAACCCAGCTCCTACTACTTTTAAACTGCAGAGCCACAGTGGAGGTAGCTCCTAGATCAGTATGAGCTGGTACAGAGTTCCTTCCCTTATCGACTTATCGTGTAGTTGCTACAAATTCTATTGACTACATGATTAGTCAATTATCTGCCTCTTAACATCCTTAATTTATAATATAGTTTTTTTCTAACAGTGAGTCTGAGATATCAGATACGTACATTGTTCTGGATATAGCAAATATGTTACATGACACAAACGAGCAGATACTAATTCTCAAAATAAGTTTCTATGAAGGTATAAACAATCGTGTTTTGATTATAATAAAATGGGAAGGGATGCTGTTTGATAGATGGATGAGGAGGACCAGGAGTTAACAGATTGGATTCTGTTCCCATTTCTGTAAATCACTTAGCTTGTTTGTGTCTCAGTTTACTAATCTGTAAAATCTAATCTTTTTCAAGTGATAGTCCCTATCTGTATTCCACTATGACACATGCACCTGAATCCAGGAAAATTGAAAGCAGCATGTGTTAGTACACACATGCACTATCTTACCTCATGCCTTTGACTAAAGGGTAGGGAGGATTAGCCACCTCTCCAGTTCCTTCTCATTACCACATGATCCATGTCAGAAACTTTATTATTCACAGTTTTGGCTCCATTATATGAAGGAAGAATTATCTAGTTTGTAAATAGCATTAGCAGTTGGAATAGTTTTTACTGGTTAGCTTTAGATTAGTCTCCAGGGGGACCCCCACCTGCCATGTACCCTGTTAGAGTACTGAACTCTGGGCTTCCTACCCACAATCCATGGTCAGCTATAGCCACCAGTGCTATCTGTACTGGCTTAAGAAAGCTCACATCTCAGTGAGACAAAGTATCTGCTGCTAGTTTCCCAGCTGTACACAAGAAAGGTAGAACTTTGTCTCTGCAAATATCTCATGGAATAAGCCACGAGACTGAATTGGACACAGGCCAAGGTAATCTCCCCCGTCTGTAAATCAGTCTGAGTCAGCAAGGAGTGCACCTCCTAATGCAAAGGCCAGCTGAGGTACAGGAGGCTCTACCACCCACAGTCTTAATGTGAGGTCTTATGTGGAAGCTAGGATGCACTCCCATAAGCATGACACTAAGTCTTCCTACAGCCCACTAAAAAAAAAAAAAGTTGGACTTGGTTGTAAGCAAGCCTATCGGCTAAGCCCTCAGGGAGTTAGCACATACTAAGTCCCATAAGCACAAGAAGAAAGCTCATAAACATTGGGTTCTGCTGGTACCAGACTGTGTTCTGTCAGTACCACCATCTCTGGCTCCTCCAACACCCCAGAATCTATCCATCAGGATTCATTGGGGAGCCCACCCTGGCACTCCAACCCCTCTCCACTTGCCATTTCCCTGTGGGGCTAGAGCACACAAAATTTGCTAACCTGGGTCCCCCAGGTCCGGGGGAGGGCAATAATTTTTGATGGGGTGCCACTCCCAAGAATTTGGAAAGTGGTCAAGGGCCAAACTTTTCCATATTCATGGAGGAGGTGCAGGGTCTAAGCTGGAGGTTGGGTGCAGAAGGGAGCTTGCAGTAAAGGATTGGGGTGCAGGAGAGGGATGTGGGAGAGAGTTTGGGTGAAGGAGGCACTTGTGACCTAGGTTAGGGACTAGGGTGGAGGGGTTTGGGCTGTGACAGGTGCAGGGGTTTGGGTTGTGACCTTGGGCAAGAGGGGGTTGTGACTGGGGGCAGGAGACAAAGGTGCAGGAGGCAGTGGGGGGGTTTGGGCTGTGACCTAGGGAAGGAGGGGGTTGTGACCTGGGGCTATGGATTGAAGTTCAGGATCTGGGAGGGAATATGGGTGCAGGAAACAGGGCAGAGGTTTTGGGCTCTGACCTGGAGCACAGATTTGTGGTGCAGGATCTAGGAGGGGATATGGGGACAGGAGGGGAGATTGAGGGTTTAGGTTATGTGGGGATGGGGAGGCTAAAGGGTTGGGGTGCCAGAGGCAAGCTCTGGCTGGGAGACTTAACTTCTTGACTTCCAGCCAGAAGACTTTTCAAGAAGACTCCCTGTCTGCCCTGCCCCTGCACTGGCTGCAGGGGCCATGTGGTTTTTGAACAGTTAGGAGCTTGAGGGAATGGGGAGAAGGTGCTTTGCAAGGTATCTGTTGACACTAGGCAGGTCTCATTGGCCAGAAACTGGCTAATGGGATTGTGCTGGGCGGTGGGAGGAGCATGTGAAGGCTCTCAGCTGTTCAAACAAAGCCCCGTGGGGGTGGGGGAGGAAGGGAATCTGCCCTTCAGAGCTATCCTCTTCTCGCTGGGGAAATACACACCATTCCATGGGGAAGTTTCACCACCTATCTGTCAAATCTAGCTCTAGACATATGGCTCTTCAGGTTTTCTGTTGGAGGCTTTATGAACTACCACATACGAGTGTGAGGGTTCAAAAGTCTTGATTCCTTGCACACTGCAATGGGTTTGGCCTCTCATTCTCAGCCCCTTGCTTGATATTATTTTGACAGGAGCTCAAGAGTCACAAAACACTGAGCTCAACACCTCCCACTCCCCACACAAAATTTGGTGATTATCTAGCAGTTTTCTTCAAGACCTGAAGCATGATAACAATGGACAAGTGGGTGCTGAATGTCAGCCACTCAGGCTATATGATAGTCCCTGTTACTTTCAAAACCCTCTTCCTTACCCCTTTACAGGGACCACTCTCATAAATTATTCTCAAACAAGAGGTGAATTCCTTACTGTACTGAGGAGTGATAGAACTTGCCCCTCTTCAATACCAAGGAAGGAAATTTGTCAGCTACTTCCTGATACCCAAGAAGGGCAATTGGAGACCAGTCCACAACCTCTGCCATTTAAACTGCTTCACTCACAAATTCAAAGTTTGCGTGGCATTATTGGCTCCAATAATTCCATTATTAGAAAATCTGTCAATGGAGGTTCTTTGAGATGTGTAATTCCTATTTGTATTCTACTTCCCACTTTCCTTTTTTCTCTGCTTTGATTCATATTTGAATTGCAGTAGTCAGTCCAACCCACCCTTTTTCCCCGTGGTCAGAGGCACAAGGTGAGTCAGGGCTTATGTACAGACCAGCAGACACTGCTTTCAAATTTTCTGGCTCTGGGCACATGATGCACATCTGTAACCCCACAGGGAGATAGCGATAGGAACCACACATCATGAAGAACTTCCAGTTACAGGTAAGGAAATGCCTTACTGCTCACTGTACCTATCTCAAAGAGGCACTATGAAACATAATTAAATTGTTGTACAAGTACTGTTCTGTAAATTCAGTATATTGAGGACAATAAACATACCAGGCCAACTCTTCACAGAGTCTGCTAGAAATCTAGAGAAGCTTCATCATGGGTTCAGATAAGTTAGTTAATTAGTTTTGAAACATCTCTGACACGGTGAATGTAAAGAGATCACATATTCTCAATGGAAAAAATAAGAGTGTAACATGATTCAATAGATGTATATAGTGATTAATGAATAAGGGAGAAGAAGAGAGTGTGCTTTCTCCTCTTCTGCTTTAAAAAAAGTGAGAGCATTACTGTCTCTCCCAGCCATGTAAGAGCAGCAACCCTCCTTTTTCTCTGGAGCCCTGAGCAATGAGAGTACCCCTTCCTGTATCAATTTGCTTTAGCCACTGGCTTTAGAGCAGCTGATTCTCCACTGTCTGGCATCTTTTGCAGTCAATTTGCACTCATGTTGACCACAAAAGATGTCAGGCTGTGGAGAATCTTATTGAACAAGGTAGTATAGAGATGCTGACATAAACTATTCCGGCTGCTTAGGAGAGTCACACAAACATATCTACAAATTAGGAAATCGTTAGTATACAGGCAGTTCATAAAGACAGTTGGAATGTGTCCCCACTCTAATCCCACCTGAAACTCCCCCACAATGAGACATCTGTGCACTTTTATGGGAAAATAAGGAGGGAAGAAGAAAGGGATGCATGCATGCATGCATGTAGTCTCAGAGCAGACAGACAGGACAGGATGGGGTACATGAAATAGCCTGCAGAGAACTTGCTGGATCATGTGTTTTTTTGGTTCAGTAATTTCCTGTGTTCTCATATTTTACTTGCAAGTAATATTTCAAATTTAATTGATTATTGTGTCTCATTCATACTATATTGAGTTTAACTGATCCATATTAGTAATCTTAAACCAATTACAAAGTATCTTTTCATTCACACAATAGTTCAGCACCTGACATGTTAGGCTTCAACTAAAATCCAAATTCTTAGCTACTTTAAATATCTTAATTCATGCACATGCTCATGAGATAGGATTATTTTAAGGGACAATTTAAATCAAGTAATTTTTATTCACAGAGAACTTATTCCTTATTCCAGAGCTCCTGCCAAAGGTTGAGACAATTACTTCAACAATCTTAAAGAAATAATTCAAGTAAGTAGAACTAAAGCATTTGCACAGTTGAAGTAAATTGCACTTAATAGCATTACTGAGCTGAGCTAAAAAAGAGCAAAGTAGTTCTTATGAAAGTCTCCATATCACTTTTATTCTTGAGCTTTTTTAGAAGCCATGTAATTATTTCATGGTTGGAAGATGGGCTTTTCCTATTCTTTCTGTTATACTTTTTAAGCTTAATTGGGGGAGGAAGTTCTATTTTTTGTGGCATAATTCTTCAGTAATCCCACTCTAGTAACTGACCCATGTATTTTCTGAAGAAAATTATGCCCATCTCTACCTTCATGAACTTTTGCAGATTATATTGAACTATCATTTATTTCTTAACAATTGTTTATCATATTTCTGCTCTGACCAACAGGTTGTTGTCTCATCAGTTACTAAGAAAATTTTCCGTGGTTATATTTATTCACAAAAACATCTTTATTTTAACTAACTTACAAATGAATTTATTTAAAATAAGACCTGACAATCTGCTCTACTGTGGTTAAATTAAATCCATGGATGTACCATAATAAATCAGAGGAGGATGGAACACATTTAATTCCTTAAAAATTAAAAGAAAGTGTTCTTTAAGCTACAAGTTTTTACATGTAATTCTTCCACACTCCTCAGCGCTGATTAGACCTCTATTGGAGTATTGTGCCCAGTTCTGTGAGCAACATTTCAGGAAAGATGTGGAGAACTTGGAGAGGGTCCAGAGAAGAGCAACAAAAATGATTAAATGTCTAGAAAACATGACTTATGAGAGAAGGCTGAAAGAATTGGGCTTGTTTTGCTTGGAAAAGAGAAGACTGAGGAGTCATGATAGCAGCTCTCAAGTAATCTAAAAAAGTGTTTCAAGGATGAGAGAGAAAAATATCTCCTTAAAATCTGATGATAGGACAAGAACCAATGGTCTTAAATTGAAGCAAGGGAGATTTAGGTTGGACATTAGGAAAAACATCCAAACTGGCAGGATGACTAAGCACGGGAATAAATTGCCTTAGGGAGATTGTGGAATCTCCATCATTGGAGATATTTAAGAGCAAGTAAACATCTATCAGGTGCTTGGTCCTGCCATGATGGCAGGGAACTGGACTTGATGACTTTCTAGTTCTATTATGTGTACTAAGCATGATTCTTATACTCAGTTATCCAAAATAAAAGATGCTAGTTAGGAACAACCTGAACACAGATGGAAATTCTGATTTTTTTTAAATGTGCAAATTAATGTTATTTCAGATATTTACATTTTTACATATAAGCACTAACTATGAATTGTTATGTCATCCATAGAGTTTCATAGAATCATAGAACACTGTTTACACAGCAGGAAGTCGAAGGAAGAACACTCTTCCTTTGACTCCTCTTACTCCTTATGAAATGAGGGTCACCATTAGTCAGAATTAGAAGTCCTCCAGTTCAACATTATTTCAAAATAATGGCTTGCTGTGTAGATGCACACTATGATATTTCAGAATAACAACAGTTACTCCGAAATAACTATGCTGTATAGTCATGCCCTTATAGTAAACAGATACATTAACTGATGGACAGTATAGAAAATCAAATGGACTAGTGTGGAGGCAGGCATGGAGGACCCATGTGTAAAAATATCTAGAAGTAAAGTGATGCAGAAAGAATGGAAGAGCCTGAGACAAGTGCATCAATTTTTTTTGTCATTGTCCAAATTTCTTGGTCAGTGTATTGTCAATGTTGAGAAAATCATACAAGAACTATAAAAATGCCACAAGAAGGGTGTGTCTACACTACAAAGTTAATTTGAACTAACAGCCTTTAGTTCGAATTAACTTTAATAGCGGCTATACATGCAAGGGCTATTTAATTTAATTCGAAATAGCGAAGCGCTTAATTCGAACTTGGTAAACCTCAGTCTACGAGGAGTAACGCCAAGTTTGAATTAAGTAGTTTGAATTAAGTGCTGTGTAGCCACTTAATTCAAACTAGCTGGAGGCTAGCCCTTCCCAGGTTGCCCTGGTGGCCACTCTAGGCCAAACCAGAAAAACTCTTCTGCCCCCCTCCCAGCCCTGGAGCCCTTGAAGGGGCACATTCTGCCCATGGTGCCTATGCCAGTTGCAAGCCTGCCAGCATTCACCCAGCAGACCCTGCACCTAGCTCAGGATGGGCCAGCCACCCACTGCCATCCAGCCCTTCACCTCTTCCCAGGACCAAGCTGGCAGCTCCTAGGAGCCTGCCTGGGGCCAAAAAAGACGGGCACCCGCCTGGTCCAGTGCAGAGATTGTGGACCTCATTGAGGTTTGGGGGGAGGCCTCCAATGACCATGATCTCCGCACTAGGCACAGGAATGCGGCTGTCTACAGCCGCATGGCTGCCAGCCTGGCCACCAGAGGCCACATGCAGATCCAGGGGCAGGGCCGCTACAAAATCAGAGGCCTGCCCACACTTTGAGGCCCTGGACCGCATCCTGGAGGCTCAAGCAGTCTGTGCCCCCCGGGTGGTGATCGACCCCGGGGCAGAGGGCCCTATCCCTGAAACGGAGGAAGAGGAGGACACCGACAGCCAGGAGCCCGCAGGGAGCCTGCCCAGGACTCAGGGCCCCCAAGTCATCCCACAGAGCACATCTGCTGTGTCGTCTGAGGCCGGGGAGGGCTCTACATGTGAGTGCCATCATGGTCCCCTGATGTGTATGGGGGGAGAGCGGGGAGAGTGAGCCCTGGGACCGTGTGCCTGGGCCTTGCCCACCATGGAGCAGCAGCTGGGTGTCATGCAGGGGCCCTGGCTCGTTCCCTAGACGCCGAACTCGTCTTGCAGAGTGGGGCTGGGTTTAACGCACTGTGTCCCCAGAAAGAACTGACCACTCCTCTTGTTTCACCACAGCCGCAGCACTTGCAAGTGCAGGGCGCACCATCCCGCCTGGACCAGCCACCCGCACCTGGGCCAGCAGGCATACCAGGAACCAGGAGGAGTACCAGCGGTGGCACCTGTGGCTACTGGGGCAGCAGCTCCGCAACCAGGAGCACTGGGTTTGCGAGAATCTATGGCTGCGGCAGCAGAGCTTGCAGGCACTGGAGGAGCAGGGCCGTGCCCTCAGAGGTCACTTCCAGACCCTGGTGGACAGGTTCCTGCCTCCT